GGATTTTCATCATCATCACCGCACCGCCCCACACCACGCACCTTCCTCCTCCCCACCGCGAAATGGTCAGGAAAATCCGGAGCTTCTTTACTCCTCACTCGACTGAAAGCGGGTCGGGTTAGTTACTGTTCGGTTTCAAGGAAAATGAAGCAGAAAATCGAGCAGATCAGTACCCCGAAGCTGCTCACGTACTTTCTGGTTGGGATAATTTCGGTTCTCTTGATCCTTAGTTTGTATTATGGATCTTCCTTCGCTCCTGGTTTGCGTAAATCCGACGAGGCTGCTTCTCGCCGATACGGATCGGACCCGGTGTTCGGAGGGTCTTCTAGGTATGGCTATCGAGCCGATTTGATCAAAGACGAATCGCGCTTGCCGGAATTCCCTAAAACCATTCCGGTATGTATCGCATTGCGTTTAACTCTTCTGTTCTGTTTTCTTTTGTTGATTTCTTGTTTTTTTAATGTGTTGTTGTGTTTACAGATTTGTGACTTAAAATATTCAGAGTTGATCCCTTGCTTGGATAGAAGCCTTAATTATCAACTCAAATTGAAGATGAATTTGTCACTAATGGAACACTATGAGCGTCATTGTCCGCCACCGGAGCGCCGTTACAATTGCCTGATTCCGCCTCCTGTTGGTTACAAGGTTAGTCCTTGAACAAGGGTTCCTTTTAGTTTTTGTTTCAGTTAGTTGTGATGCCAATGAAATTGGTATTAGAGTTTCAGATACCTATAAGATGGCCGGCAAGCAGAGATGAAGTGTGGAAGGCAAACATTCCCCATACACATCTTGCAAAGGAAAAACAGGATCAGCATTGGATGGTTGTTGATGGGGAAAAGAAGTGTGGAGGTTAGTTTTGGACTTTTGGAATATCCAGAGGCAACCAGAAAGATGGAGTGTTGAATGGTTTTGACTAAGGAAGGCATGTAAAGGTCATTTAACTCAGCCACAAAAGTTGAAGACTACCTTAGCTGCCACTTTATACATGATTTGGCAGGAGAGGAATAGGAGAATATTTCTTAGAAAGTTTTTGACTGCAAAGGATGTATATAATGAGATAATTGGTTTTTTGAGATTAAAGTTTTGAGAAGTGTATTTCCCTAGGTATGCTTGGGAGTAGAAGTGTAGATGTCATTTAATGTTAACTCGACAAACTTGCCTTTTCCAAAAAAAAAAATTATTGAATGATAACATAATTTTTGTAATAATAGCATACTTAAAAAACCAGCCATCCTACTCTCTTTGAATTTTTGGAACATCATGTAGGAACTTAGGTAATTAATCAAAATAAGGCTAAAGCATTTTTAATTTTATTTTTTTTATCTTGATGATATAATAAGAGACAATCTTTCCTCATTCATGATCCCACTTTACCCCATGAGTTGCACCTACATATCATATTATTACATGTCATATTATTGAAATTTAGATTATTTTACTTTCAAAATAAAATTATTTTTAAATTATTTAAGTCATTATTAAAGTATTTTTAAATAAACGTTCAATTCAAAATAAAAATAATAATTGAAATAGAAAATTGTTTTCTTATGAGAAACAACTAAAATAGATTAAATGTTCAGTTCAAAATAAAAATAATATTATTATTAATAAATTAAATTGTCCATGACATTGCTCCTAAAAAATAATGTTACTGATTCTTTTAAAGAAAAACTCTAGCATGCAGCGAACCTAGTGCTTCCTTTGTTGGAGCTTCTGAGAGACCCTTTTTCAGTTTTCACAAATAATATTAATAACAAATTAAATTATCCATGTGACATTTCCCCTAAAATATAATTCAATTATGTTACTAGTTTTTTTTTTTTTCTAAAAGAAAACTACAATGTAGTGAACCTAGATTTGGAAATGCACTTCAACAACTACTATTAGGCTTCGTTTGTCGAAATTTCTAACAGATTTTGTTTCACCTTGTCTTAAAATGTAAAATTTTAATTTTTAATTAATTTTAATTAATATTTTATATATTTTTAAATAATAAAAAGACTAAAAAAAAAACCTACTACTATAGCACATTACCGCCGAGTCAATCTTTACTTAATCACTTTGTTCCTATCAACTATATACAAGAATGTTATAATTTGTGATATTGTAAATTTATAATGTGATACATCATCATATAATAAATTTTTTATTTAAAAATTTATCTATAACATTATATATATTTATTTATTTAATATAAGAACAATGATATAAAAATAATCTTTTTGTATAATTTTTTTATACAACTTTCATATATCAATAAATAAGTAAATACATTTAAAATCTTAGACCCCAAACAAATAAAAAAAAATTAATTATTTAAATGACACATAAATGCAAAAAAATTATTTCTAAATTATTTTCCTTAATATAATCTTATACTCATTTAAACTAAATTATAATTATAAATTTACAAACTTATATGATATAATAACTATAACATTACAAAGTATAATAATTATAATACCTTTCTCGGTCTTTTGGCTAAAATCAAGTATAATAATTATAGCATTGTCGTATTGCAGTGACATGTTTTTCCCTTCTTATGGGTTTGTAAATGCATTAAGAAATCTATAAGGGTGCATATCTTTGGGGAAGTATACTTGAAAAAATGGACTAGTCTTGAAATCTCTTTATTGTTAAAATATGCAATAAATGGAAACAAAGTTTGCTTAACATATAGAAAACATGGTTTACCATGTAAAAACATTTAACTTAACAATTAACGTCAACTAAAAAAAAAAATTCTCAGACATTCATCATCAGCAGCACAGATGATATTTCCTTTTATGCCTTCCAAATGGCTGGACAACAGCATTACTGTGGATGACACATTTGAATTAAGTACGTACTCTTGAACGCAGATTATCATACGTGCGAGCAACTACTAACAATCTTGGATCGTCTTCAGGAATCTCACGATCCTGCAGTCGAGAGGAAAGAACAGAGAAATGTAGATAAATTTCAGCTTTTCAGATATTTTCAAAACACACTGTAAGGTGAGCCATAAAGAAAATGTTGGAGTCATGCTGAAGACAAGTATTATTCTCTTCAATCGCACAAAATTACCTTTAGACCATTGTAGTATGCTTCCACTGCAGGAAGAGAGGGAGTTATTTTCCGAGCCTGCATCAAGTCCCATATAAAATTTGCATTTGTATATCCACCAGTCTGCGTCGGGCAAGAGTAAATTTTCAGAATGAGCAGACAAGTCAATTTTAACAAGTATTCATATAATCTCCTAGCAACCCACCATAGGTATGCTGTTTGGTATATTTGCTTACCTTCTCACGCGCAGCTACAAGGAGGAGATCACTTCCCTGTTTAAAGTTCAGGAAAAAGTTTCTGGAATTCATTTTTACCTGCATTAGCCAGGAAAGCCATATGACTCAAAAGTAACAAGAACATACACATGCGCATGTACAAGCTCAACAAATAAACTGTATCTTAAGTTCCTAGCCATACCAGCATGTCTTGAGCAAGTTCCATTCCCCTTGGAGTATGACCAACCATGGCGCCCTCTATAAATGTCTACAACCAAACAAGTTGCAACAATTTAATGATAGATCCACTAAAGTCAAAAGCACAGTTACCAACTTATTCAACAATAAAAGTGATTTCATCTATTGTCTATGAAAATGGATACATGGAATACCACCCAACCGGCCCAGCCTATCAATTAAACAATTACCCCAAGATGGAAATGAGAGCAAGAAATAGCCAATCTACTTTTGTGGTGGCCTAAAAGAGGTTTTATACCCATATATCAAACTTACCACATATAGTTCTGGCAAGGGATTCCTCCCTGCATTCATGTACTCTTCAAAAGTTTGAAGACCACGATCAAGGTCTCCAGCATGTAAATAGCATCTGATAAAGGAAGACAAAAATGTATAAGCAACTCTAAACAAACTGAAAACGTTATGTCTGCTGTTAAAATGACCCAATCAAAGATAGAGTCCAATAATAGTAATTAGACAACGCATGCTTCTGAGGAGTGAGCCTGGAAGCATCATCATATTTTTCATAATGTTATGGTTTCCTTTGAATGTATTATTACACTTTTTACCCCACATGTTCTAGGCTCTGCATCATTTTTTTCTGAAATTATGAAGGTATGTATTGGCTTTGAAGCCTGTGTACCTCATAACTTGCATGACGATGAAGGGATCAGTCACTTTTTCCTCCTTCCTGAGCGTCTCCAGTAAAGTTTCCATAGCCTACCATGAATAGAGCAAAGATATGAATAGAAGTTGAAATGAGTGGT